CCCCCCCCATGGCTCTTTCTCAGTCTTCTTCCCATTAACCTCCACTTGACCCAAACTTCAGTACTCAGTTCATATCACCATGCAGCCACGCACTGCCGAAGATGTTTCCGTCAACGATGGACCACATATACGACGGTGGTCCTATAAGATTTTAACAGGGCTGAAAATTTCCCACTGACTAGTGACTCTGTGGCTATCTTAATGTCACTGCACAATGTATTACTCCCGTGTTTGTGGTGCTGCTGCTGTAAACAAACCTACTGTGCTGCTGGTCCGAGCAAAGAACAGCACATACAATTACATTAGTAGCCTAGACCATCCAGGTCTGTGTAAGTGCACCCTATGATGTTCACACTACAACCCAATCGCAATGGGTCATGACTGTGTGCATAATCCTTGAAACTCGTATGACACGTTTTGCTGAAAACTCTCAAATTAACATCTGTGGCCCAGGAATCCTTACTGAGTTTTAGACTTCTGCATCTGGTGTTCAACTGGACCCCCTCCTTGGACGTACACAAAACCTACCTCCTTCCGTCTCTCTCACTGTATACCCTTGGCACAAGTCAAAATCCCAGAGGCATCCTTAACTCCCTCCCACTCATCAGCTATAACGCCCATCACCAGGTCTCCACCGGGTCCTGCAGATTCTACCTCCTTCACTGCTCTCTAATCTAGCCCTTGCTCTCAAGCCCTGCTCGGGCTATTTTAGTTCGGGCTCCCATCACTTCTCGCATGGATTATTGGAACAGTCTCCCAACCCACTGACCTGCTTCCTACCTCTCCTGCACACAGCTGCCGGAGCACACAACAGCAACTGGAAAAGTTTACTGACACTGTTAGGTCCAAAGCTGACCACCCACGGCATGTCTCTGCGGAAAGCCTTTCAAAGGCACCCATCCCACTGCCTCCACGCGGCTTCTCAGGATCCAGCTCCGCCACCTTCGTGGCCTCTCCCAGGTCGTCTCAGCTCTGAGACACGGTGCTGGCTCCGGCCTCCCCTCCCCCGCACGCGGCCACCTCTCCCTGCACGTCTACCTACTACTTCACAGGCGTTACCCCTCGGAGAGGACCGCGCGCGTGCACTTCCACGGGCACGCGTCTCGATCGCGCCGCACGCGCGGCAGCTGCTAATGATGTGCCCGGGGAATCACAAGCTCCAAGAGGAAGGACAGCGACCACCAACCTCATCCGACCTGTAGAACTAGAGCGTGAATGTGCCCACACAGCCCTGATTCCGTATCCTCGACCTTTCTTAAAAGGAGAGGGGGGGGGGTGTATTTAGTGGGCCTTTTACCACCGCTCCGGCAGCCGTACTTTTGCCCAAGGTGCTTCAGGCTGGAAACGGGGAGCGCGCAAACCACCCACACACCCCACACACACCCCTTTCCACGCGGGACACGCAGGGAACTGAGGACCCACGCGGTGCCCCGTGAACCAGCCGCGGGAGGTTCCCCGGCCCGGGGCGCAGGCCCCGCGCGCGGCGGCGGCGACCGGCCGCAGNGACGCGCCGACGACTCGCTACGTGTAAAGTCCAGTCCGGCTCCGGCCGCGGGGTCTCGCTCCCTCCCCGACAGGGCATCGCCCTGCTTGGGGAGAGACGCGCGCCCCCACCCACCGCCTCAGGCAGGGGTCACTCACTCGTCCACCGGCCATTGAGTCTTTAGCTCTGGACACGGGGG